GTAAATATATATATATATATATATATATATATATATATATATATATATATATATTTCGCTTGAAGATGGAACAGAGCTTAGTATTTTAATTCAATTTAATTCAAATAATTATATTGAAGTTTTCGGCTCTTGTTTTGAAACATGAGAACTCTTATGTAGCGTGTTGGAATCATATTTTTAAATAAATAATTATATATATATATATATATATATATATATATATATATATGGTAGGCTGTTTTTATTTAGTCTTGAGACAGCCGAAAGGAAGAAGAAAGCTTCTGCCAACATGCCAAAAACTAGCATGGTAGGTACGGTATATTAGCTTCTAATGCCTTACAGACTTTAGCAAAAGCCTGGATCGTGTCGTGATGGGAAACAGTTGACTGATATACGAAGTCTGGTCAAAAAGTATCGAGACTGTTGTTATAGTAACGGAGCTGAAATACGCAGAGTGAAGTCGCTTGACCTTGTGTACACCTTTAGTTATAACCTTGTCGTTCACTTTCGTTGTTTAGAGAGGTGCATGAAAGGAAAGTGTGCAGAGTGTGGTCGTCTCACTACACCACAGAGTTTCCATCAGTGACCATATCTTGTGCAGAATTTTTAGGCCAAGGTTTATATTCCCCATATCCGACAACCCCCATATTCCGCATATCCCCCCAGCGCCTTTTACCTTTTCAAAAATCAAATTCCACTCGGAAGGAACAAGATTTGAAGATGTCTAGGAAACCCAAGAGAATGCAACGCGGCATCCTCCGTAAGGAGTTCTTATAGGTAGTTAGATAGAACCATGATTACCATTATCCTGATGGGGTACAGTACATAGACGAATTATCGGTGTTGAGAGGACAAGTTCTTCATGACCATTTATGTGTGTCAGTACATTTTCTTTAACGGAAAACAATATTTGAATTTATGTTAGATTTGAATTGGAAACTCGATTTTTTTTTGACACTGAGAAACAGTTTCGATTGCTTATTGTTAAGAGACGATCACGAACCTATTTGAAAACACCCTAGAAAAATAACCTTTTAACTCGAGGACACATGACGCAGTGGATAAAGGCGTTGGTTAGATCCAGTGACAGGACCCAAAGAGTGTGAGTTCAATACCCGGTTAAGGCAGTGGATAACTTAGAGAGGGGAATTAACAGGAGATAACTGACAACTGACATCCATCAAACATGGCACATGGAACTAGAACAGTCTACCCCAGTGAGCGAAATAAAGGGTTCAGTTCGACATTCCAACCACCTGAAGAAGGCCGGAGCGTAAAACGGCCGAAACGTTGTGATAAATATGTCGACAAAGATGTGGACAATAGTCCGAATAATGTAAATCATGCTCCTAACTTTAGTTTGGAATATCTTATCTAAAATGAAATCAAAATATCTACTCACAGATAAATTATTTGACTAATTTATTCGTTTTCTCACGGCTTATCAGCCCATTTTAGGTTATTTAAAGCCAGAAAACATTTTTAGATTGTAAGAATTTTGTTTAAAAATAATAATAGTTTAATCATACACCTCTTACTAATTAACCTATAGCTGGGAAAAGAAGAGGTGGTTTCATACCTTTCCTTTATATACGCGTAAGTGAATATAACGAACCCAACTGGAATTGAAACTCGGCTATCCAAATTAACAATTTCGAGTCAGTATCCATTACACCACCCGCACACCCAAGCTTACAAAACCTAGTATTGCCAAGCGCTCATCCATCATGGTACTGAATAAATTCGACTTTGCTTAACGTCGTTTAAGAATTGATGTTTCAACGTGATGTGACAGTAAGCCTCCTCACGGATGAAGAGGCTTGAAGCAACAGCTTCTACAAAAGGATGGTGACAATCCGATGGACTAAACATATGACTAGTGATTATGTTATAAGGAAAGAGAATGAAAAAAAATAATTTCATCCCAACCAAGGTGATAAAGCCACTAAGATGCAGGTGTGTTCCAGAGAGTGAAAGAGAAAGAGACGACTTTAGTGAGAAGAAATGAGCAAATGACGTCAGAGGAACAGGGTTCAGCAATGCGGAAGATGTCAATTGATGCTGCAATTTAAAATTTTGAGGATTGCAGGTGGGTGGGAGGCAAAAATCTCAAGGGAGTTCCACAGGTGAGAAGTGCGAGAAAATACACTGTTAAAATAGGGGTTCATAAGTAAAGCGGTTAGATCTACTTGTCAATCTACCGGGTATAACAGCAAAATTGTCCAATTGCTAGATTAAAATTTGAACCGTTGTAACTTAGAAATGATTAAAAATATCTTACTGGAATTCTCCGAAGATTTTATAACATTAGTGGATTCTATTTTAATCAATAAGAATGTATAATTACTTTCTAAGCTTAACAGAAGAATCGTGATGAAATCGATCATAAACGAAAATGACATGTTCATCATTAATTAATCATAGCTAAGGATCAGAAGCTCATGAATAATTGAAATAAAATTGAAATATATATATATATATATATATATATATATATATATATATATATATATATATATTATTCAGGATCATTTTCCAATTTATTCAAGATGATCTTCGCCTTCTCTAATCTACTTTCTGTCCTGGAGTAATAAGTTGCCTCACATGTTTCACGTAAGATTTCATTTTCAAGTTTTTTCACTGCTCTTTGGACTGTAATAGCTGAAACTGCTTTCTCACATGCTAAACGTCTTATGGATTGAGTTGGATCTTTTCTAATTGATCTCTTTAGCTCAAAGCTGAAATGATGATCCTTCTTGAAGTTGTGACCTCCTGATCTAGGTTTCTGTTCTACTGTTCTCTCTTTAAACTTATTCATCGTTCTTTTGGTGATTATTGAATGGACTTTGAAGATGGAAGACAGAATATGTGTTGTATTTCAATAAGTCGTCCTAAATTAGGTTCAACGTACAAAACGTTAGGAACTTGAAATAATTAGTTAATGACGCAGCAATCTAGTTGTGATGGTTGGTACTTCAATATTCGATATCGACTGACTCACTCAACACCACTGAGCCGAACTGGCGACCGTTACTACTACAACTTATTATTTGTGGGAGAGTCTATTAATAATAGAATTGTTACGTCAGGTATAACAGTATGAATGTTCGTACCATTACTGAAGGCCTGAATGATCTTTTTCCACTTACCATTGCTCAGTTGGGAAGACAAGTGGGGTTGCTAGAAAACGATTTTAACCTGTTTTAACTTTAGCTGAATAACTCAAAGGATTTTTCGTGATTCTTACGAAAAAAAATGGTGTCAAGATGGCTAAACGTCTGATCTGAAAGCTTGAAAAAGAAACGCAATTAGTTTATTATTTTTTTTTAGATATTAAACATTTTGTGGGATGGACAATTATGCCGTTACACCGGTAGTAGCACGCTTGAAACCACGCAGTCGAAGCACTGAAGAAAAAAATCACATCTGAACAGTCGCCTTGAAAATATTACAAGAAAAGACAGAGTAAAATCACGTCGGTGAGAAAATGATTAAAGTCGAGTTACCAGATCAAGATCGATTATATTACAGACCTTTTCTCTGAATTTTGTCAAGAATCTTGAGATATCCAGCAGGAGCACTAGACCAGATATGGCATTATGATTCAATACATAGACGAAAGATGAAATTTCTAAGGTAAAAAACAGGGAAATACAGATTGGAGAATTTGAAATTCACGGAGCGTATAGAAGACAGGAGAGGCAGAGAAAGTCACAGAATAATGGGCGTGTGTAAATGAAAACTTTCTGTTCTGTTGTTTTTCAGGATAGGCTTTGACTATTGATTATTAAGGGAAAAAATCGTTATTATGTGATACCAAATGAAGAATTTGAAAAGATACAAAGAAAATAGTACTATACTTTCATGTAATATCTGTCTTATTTTATGCCAGTGAATGCTGAACAATCTCCTCACAGATGAAGAAGAGGCAACAGAAATGTGCTTCTACCGAACTTGTGAGCAAAGACGAAGTTTTGGGGAAGATGTAAACGAAATGGAGACTTATACTTAAAATGCAAAAGGGTAAATTTCTAGGACTCATAATGAGAAAAACTGATTGTGATTCTTGTATCTAAGCTCATAAAAACGAGAGACTTCATCAAGCAGAGACAGTTGAAAATTGTAGGTCACATAATGAGGAAAGAGGGTTTGGAGAATCTAACACTGACAGGACACCTTGAAGGCAGAATGGACAGAGGAAAGCAATGAATGACCTACCGAACGAGTTTGGTTAAACGGATTGTAGAGCAGCGATTGAGAGAGGTAACGAAAAGACAAACCTTACTGAAAGCTACAAAGGATAGGAAGTTGTGGAGTGACATGAGCGTCTACGTCCTGAAGAGACACGTCACACAGAAGAAGAAAGAGAACACCGCTGCTGCTGCTATCAATTTTGTAAGCAAGATTATCAGTGAGATATTCTCTAACCGCTCCAAGCGGTCGGATGTGTTACAAGGCCGAATTTATGGTGGGGTATCCGAGCCCGTAGGGTCGGCCAAAAATTCCCCGCAGAGCCCGTAAAAAACGGAGTCGGGTAGCTGTTTCTCGAGACGAGACTCTGCCTTTCGACATAGCCACGTCTGGGGCTCCTCTCTACTCGGAGGCAGAGAGTTTGACCAGCGCAGCTGGAGACGAATCTCCAACTGCAGGATATCTATCAACGCCCCACGCGGTCAAATGTGGCACAAAGCCAGATTTAATGTATCCGAGCCCATAGGTTCGGCCAAAAATTCCCTGTAGACAGCATATAAAATCGTGTCGGGTAGCTCTTTCTCGAGACTCTGCCCTTCGACATAGCCTCGTCTGGGGATCCTCTCTGCCCGGAGACAGAGAGTTTGACCAGTACACTTCCGAAGTCATCCGGATAGTGATCAAATCTTATTAGTGTCGGCATATATCTTGGCTTTTCGGATATGCGTATATTCTCGCTTCGACACCCACACAGGCACAATGGTGCTCTTGAACGCGGGTAAATTTGTATATAAGGTCGCTCATCTGTG